CCACCACCACCACCACGACAACCACGCACACACGCACGCACGCACGCACGTGCACCACCACCCACTACGCACGCGCGCGCGGAGCCACAGGTCCGCTACGACACGCGTCCGCAGATAGAGAAAATCAGCGCCATGGTCAGGGATGGGAGGGAGTGGTAGGACGTCAGATATGACGCGAGCGCACCTAGCTTGCCATCCCCCTTTCCCCCTCCCCCAGGGTCCAGCATCTTGCCTGAGGGCGAGGAGGGCCTCTGGAGGGGGTGGGGGGTATCCGGGCTCGTCGGCGCACCTCCAGAGACTCTCGCCTGTGGCATCCATGCGGGCAAGCCAGAGCGAACAGCCTTAGAAGAATCGTTGTTGTTGCTGTTGTTGTTGTCGGCAAGAAAACTGGCTGCCGAGGCCTCCGCGCAGGGGCCGAGCGCACATCCAAAAGAATCTGCCTTCCGTGGCCGCGGTCCCGAATCGCGGAACGATTGGCCCAAGACGCTTACGATGGCTCCAAGACGTCCCAAGACGCCTTCGAGAGCCCCAGCAGCACTCGCACGAGGGCCCCTAGAGGCAAACATAAAAATGGTAACTCAGTTGTTTGTTTATTGTTTCTGGGCATATCGTCTTATCGAGCTTGCGATGCTCCAAGACGGCCCAAGAGGTCCCGTAGACCGCCCAAGAACTGCCCACGAGACCCCTACGAGGGCCCCTGGACGGCCCAAGAGGGTTCCAAGATGGCCCAAAGAGGGGCCCAAAACGGCCAAAGATCGCCCCAAGACGGCCCCAAGAGAGGCAAAGCGGGCGAACGCGAATCGAACATCCTATCTTTCCCCCCCAAGAGGCCACCCCAACGGCCCCGACAAGCCCCCGAGCGGCCCAAAAAAGGCCCCCAATGAGCCCCAAGAGGCCTCCAAGAGGCCCAAAAGAGGCCCGAAAGAGGCCCCAAACATGGCCCCCAGCCGCTTCAAAACTGCCCCCAAGAGGCTCCGCCAGGCCCCCAAACAGCTCCCAAGACACCCACAAGAGTTCCCCGATAGTGTCCAAGAAGCCCACGACGCCTCAACCGTGGACTCCCCGCCTCTTCTGGGGTCGGCGGAATAGCGCAAACCTCTTGAATAAATGCTCCTCCTCCCCTGGCTCCTCCTCCTTCTCCCGTTCCCTCCCCCTCATCCTCCTCCTGATCCACCTCGTCCTCCTCCTCTCCTCATCATCATCACCACCACCACCACAACCTCCACCACCACCACCACCACCACCACCACCACCACCACCACAACCCCACCACAATCACCACCATCGTCATCACCACCACAATCATCATCATCATCATCATCATCATCATCATCATCATCATCATCATCACCACCATCATCATCATCATCATCATCATCATCATCACCACCATCATCATCATCAGCAGCATCATCAGCATCATCCATTCCTTCTCCTCCTCCTCCTCATCATCAACATCATCATCATCTGGAAAAACAATCAGCATCATCATCATCAGCATCATCAACGTCATCATGATCATCCTTATCCTCATCATCATCAGCATCATCACCATCACCATCACCATCACCATCACCAGCATCAGCATCAGCATCAGCATCAGCATCAGCATCAGCATCAGCATCAGCATCAGCATCAGCATCAGCATCAGCATCAGCATCATCATCATCATCATCATCATCATCATCATCATCATCATCATCATCATCATCATCATCATCATCATCTCTCCTCCTCCCTTCCTCCTTCTCCACCTCCGCCTTTTCCTCCTTCTCCTCCTCCTTCTCCTGCTCCTGCTCCTCCTCCTCCTCCTCCGCTGCCACCTCCCCCTCCCTCTCCTCCTCCTCCGTCTCCTCCTCCCTTCTCTCATCCTCCTCCTCCGAAGCTCCTGGTCGCCGTCGCCGCACTTGACCTCCTCGGGGAGGCTCGTCTGGCCCTGCTCCCTGAGCCACGAGGAGCTGACCTGCAGGAAGAGCACGGCCTCGGGCGGCCACCGCCGTGCGCAACGACAGGGCCAGACGACGACGACGCCGACGAGGACGACGACGACCACGACGACGACGAAGAGGAGGCTCATGACCACGACGACGAAGACGCAGACGACGACAACCATGACGACGAAAACGACCACCTGGACGACGACGACAACGACGACGACCACGACGACGACCACAACGACGACGCCACCGACATTGATGACCGCGACGACGACGCCGACGACGACGACGCAAACGACAACTACGACGACAACTACGACGACGACGACCACCACCACCACGACGACAAGGACCACAACGACGACGCCACGACAACGACGACGACGACGACGACGGCGACCACGACAACGACGACGACGACGACGACGACGGCCACCACGACAACGACGACCGCGACAACGACGACGACGCCGATGACGACGACGATAACGACGAAGACCACGACGCTAACGACGATGACGATGATGACGCGGACGACGACGACGACGACGACCATGACCACGACCACGACGACGACGAGGACGACGACGACGACGATCGACAACGACCACGACGCAAGTGACGCAAACGATCACGACAACAACGATCACGACGACGGCAACGCAAGCGACGACGACGACAACGATCACGACGCCGACTACCACGACGACGACGAGCACGACGACAACGACGACGACGACAACCACCACGACGACGATCGCGACGACACCGACGACGACAATCGCGACGACGACGCCACGAGGCCGCCGACGACGACACCACGACGACGACGAAGACGCAGACGACGACGACGACCACGACGACGAAGACGACCACCACGACGACGACGACGACGACATCGACGACCGCAACGACGACGCGGACAACGCTGACGACCGCGACGACGACGACGACGATGCAAACGATGACGACCTCCACCACGACGACGACGACCTCCACCACGACGACGACGAGGACCACAACGACGACGTCACGACAACGACGACGACGACCGCGACGACGACTACCACGACGACGCCGCTGCCGCCGACGGTGACGACGCGAACACAACCTCGACGACCACGACGACGACGACCACAACGACCACCAGAATGACTACGACGACGATGACGACCACCGCGACGACGACGACGACCACAAGCACCACGACGAAGACGCAGATGCCGACGACGACGACGCAGACGACGACGACCACCACCACGACGACGGCGACGACGACGACGACGACCGCAACGGCGACGAAGACGACGACGACCACGATGACCAACATGATGAAGGCGCATACGCAAACAATGACGAAGACGCAAACGACAACAAGGCGACGACGACACCGTAAACCACGACCACGACGCAGACGACGCAGACGACGATCACGGCGACGACGATAGCGACCACGACGATGACGACGACCACGACGACGATCACGACCACGACGACGACGACGCCGACGACGACACACACGACGACGACGACGACAAACGCGACGACGACGACGAGCATGACGACGATGAGGGCGACGTCGCCGACCAGGACGATAGCAACGACGACGCCAACGCCTGCGATGACGACTACGCCGACGCCGACGACGACTACGACGACGACCACGACGACAAGAACGACGACGACGACCACGACGATAGCAACGACGTCGCCGACGCTGGCGAAGACGACGAGAAAAACGACGACGACGACGACAACGTCGACGACGACGACGACGTCGACCACGACGACGCCGACGACGACGACGCAGACCACGACACAGACTACGACGAAACGACGACGATGACGACGACGACGACGACGCAGACCACAACGACGACAAACGACCACGATCGCGACGACGAGGACCACGACGACGAAGACGACGACGCCAACGCCGAAAACCGCGACCACGACGTCGCCGGCGACGTTGCCGACGACCACGACCACGACGACGACGAAGACGACGAAGACGCAGACGAGAACGCAGACGTCAACGACCACGACGCCGAGGACCGCGACGTCGAGGACGACGACGACGACAACAACGGCGACGACCACGTTGACGACCCCATAAACCGCGACGACCAGGACGACAACGACGCCGACCACGACGTCGACGACAACGACCACCACGACGACGATGACGACGATTACGACGACAACGCTCTGCGTCGTTCTGCGACGCCCCCCGCGGCGAGCAGCCTCCCCGGACGCAACGACGACGATGACGACGGCGACGGCGCCGACAACGCGACGACGACTACCACGACGGCCACGACAACGACGACGACGCAAACGACGACGGCGACCGTGACGACGACCACCAAGACGACGACCACGAGGACGACAACGACGACCACACCACTACGACGACGACGGCGACGACCGCGAAGATCGCGACGACGACGACGGCCACGACGACAACAAAACGACGACAACGACGACGACGACGACCAAGACGACGACGGCGAGGACCACGACCAAGACAACGACGAGGACCAGGACGACGACGAGGACGACGCCGACGACCAAGACGAAGACGGCGACGACCACCACGACGATAACCACGACAACGACAATGACCACGACGACGGCGACGACCACGACCTCGACCACGGCGACCGCGACGACGACGACGACGACGACGCCGAAGTCCACACCGACGACGACGACGACGATGCAGACGCCGATCACGACGGATACGATGACGACGACGGCGACCACCACGACGACGACCACGACGATGACCACGACGACGACGCCGATGCCGACGACGACGACGACGTCGTCGACCTCGACGACCGCGACGACGACGACGCCGATGCCAAAGCCGGAAGTGACGTCAACGACGCAGACGACCACATACGTCGACGACCACGACGACGACGACGACGACCACGACGTCGACGACGACGACAACGTCGACGACGACAACCATGACGACAACGACGACAACGACGACAACGACGTCGACGCCGACGTCGACGCTGACGACGACGCCGACCACGACGCTGACAACGACGACGACGACGACGACGACGACGACCGAGACGACGACGACGACCACGACGATAGCGACGACGGCGTCATCGTTTCGAAGTCTTCGGTCCGGGGACCAATTCGCGGCGGATCTGTGCCGAGGGCAGGGGAGCAGCAGCAAGAGAGGTGGGAGTCGAGGCTCCAAGTGTCGGGGTGTGTGTGCGTGTGCGTGTGTGCGCGAGTGTGTGAAGGTGCGTGTGCGCGTGCGTGCGTGCATGAGTGTGAATGTGGGTGTGTGCGCGTGCGTGTGTGTGTCTGTGTCTGTGTGTCTGTGTGCGTCTGTGTGTGCCTGTGTGTGTGTCTGTCTGTGTGTTTCTGTGTGTGTGCGTGTGTGTCTGTGTGTGTGTCTGTCTGTGTCTGTGTGTGTGGCTGTGTGTGAGGGTGTGTGTAAGTGTCCGTGTGTGTGCGTGTAGGTGTGTGGGTGTGGGCGTGAGTGCGTGCGTGCGTACGTGCGTGCGTGCGTGGGTGTGAGCGTGTATGGGTGTGTGTGTGCGTGTGTGTGCGCGCGGGTGTGTGTGTGTGTGTGGTGTGTGTGTGACGTGTGTGGTGTCTGTGGTGTGTGTGTGTGTGTGGTGTGGGTGGTGTGCCTGTGAATGTGTGTCTGTTTCTGTGTCTGTGTGCGTCTGTCTGTGCCTGTGTTTGTGTGTGTGTGTCTGTCTGTGTGTGTGCCTGTGTGTCTGTCTGTGTCACTGTGTGTGGGTGTGCGTGTGCGTTTGTGTGTGTGTGTGCGTGTGTGTGCGCGTGTGTGCGTTTGTGTGTGTGTGCGTGTGTGTGCGCGTGTGTGTGTGTGTGTGCGCGTGTGCGTGCGTGCGTGCGTGCGCGTGTGCGTGTGCGTGTGCGTGTGCGTGTGCGTGTGCGTGTGCGTGTGCGTGTGCGTGTGCGTGTGCGTGTGTGTGTGTGTGCGTGTGCGTGTGATCGTCTCGCCCTTTCTGGGGGGCGGCCTCTGGGAGGCAGTTCGTCGCCGCGGCTGGCTCCACCTCGAAGCCCACGGTCGAAACGCACCCGCACACACACACACACCAGACGAGGCCGGGGATCAGTCCCGATGGGAGGGGGAAAGGCATGGAATGGAGTGGAGTCGAGTTGAATGCAATAGGATGAAATAACATGACTCCTGTTCCCTAGGACGGAGCACAGAGGAGGAGGAAGAGGAGGAGGAGACAGAGGAGGAGGAGGAGACAGAGGAGGAGGAGGAGGAGGGAGGGCAACGTTCGACTAACTGCTTTGCCTTCAGGCTTTCAGGCTCTCAGGATGCAGAAGAAGAGGACGATGGGGGAGGAGAAGGCGAGTGCGGAGGAGCGGGAGAAGGAGGGGCATGGACAAGATGATGCAAGAGCAGACAAGAGCTAGGATTCGATGTCTTGATCGTGAGAGAACAGCAGCGTGCAGCTGGGGCGAGAAGGCCCCCACGACCCCCCTTCCCCCATCCCAACCTGCCCCATTGTCCCAATGCTCCCTCGTCCCCCTGTCTCCTTCGTCCCCACCTCGTCCCTCGACCCCCGACCCCCCGTCCCTCTGGCCACCTCTGCGCTCATCCCCTTCACGCTGTCCCCCCGCCTCCACCTCCTCCTGCTGCTGCTTCTCTTTCTCCTCCCTCTTTCCTTCCTCATCCGCCTTCATCCGCCTCTTCCTGTGTTTCCTCCTCCTCCTCCTCATCATCATCATCATCCAACTCCTTATCATTATGATGTTCCTCCTCCTCCTCCTCCTCCTCCTCCTCCTTCTCCTCCGTCTCCTCCTCCGCCTGATGTCCCTCCTGATCATGCGCCTTACAACATGCTGATATTTGTGTTATGTAATTACCCTGTCTTTCTACGCCTCCCCCGTCTGAGGCCGCGGCGAAAGTGTAGGTCATGATGGCGATCAGCAGAGAGGCCCAGAGGAGGGACTTGCCACAATTCATGATCCCAGACCTCGGCCGTTGGAGGAGAATCCGGGGAGCAGGAACAGGAGGGACAGGCTGGGGAGGAGGAGGCGGAGCAGCAACAAGACTGACCCAACGGGCCCCACGAGCTCCCACACAGCGAAAAGTGGAGCAAGAATGGGAGGAAGACAGCGACAAGGACGACAACAACGCCGTCCTCACCGGACCAGACCTGCGATTCGCGCACTTGCTCCGTCCGTAGGCCTTGGAAGCCTCAAGCCCTTCCCAAAAATGCCCCTCGTGCCCGAAGGGTTCTGATGATGGTCCCAGGGCCCGCACAACCACCAGAGGCCGAACTTGGAAGGAAGAGGACACGCAGAGACTGCAAACAAAGACGTGACCTACCAGGAAGTCTTGGGAGCATCGACGTCGTCGTGGTCGCCGCCCCCTTGGGCTCTCGAACCCTTGTCCTGCGGACGCGAAGTTTCCCCTGTGCTCTTCACTTGATGGCCCCGAGTCGCGGACAAGAAATCCGGAGCCAGCCGCAAACAACGAAAAACAGCCAGCGCGATGGCCCTGAGCCGCCTCTCTCCTTGAGGGGGGGAGGGGCCGGCCCAGAGCTCCGCCGGGAGTCCTGCCGCGGCCACGAGAAGACCTCCCCCAGAGGTCCCCCAAGCCCATGAACACAAACTGGTACGCTGGCTGCACATGGCTTGCGGGATTTATGCCGGTGGGCGCAGTGTCCGGAACGCGACGCGCGCCCTCCGCCAAGGCGGAGGCCGTGCAGGGTGGGAGGGGGGAAACAGAACATAAACGGCCCGGGCCCGAGACGGCTGCGTGAGAGGAGGAGGAGGGGCAGGCATCCCTACGCGGCTCCAACCACCGAGGTGTAGAGCACCCTCCGAACAAAACAGCTTCGTGCGCTGGCTGCCCACTACTGAAGGGAGACGGGGGGAGGCAGGCCCTTCTCATGTCGGTAGGCGCAGTGTCCAGAAGGCAACGCGCGCCCTCCGCCACCACGCCACCATTGGAAGTCCCAAAACGGTGCGGTGAGAGCACGGTGCGCTGAGTTTGGCGCGTGCTGGAAGGCTCAGCCGTTCGCGCCGCTTGGGCCCCAGTGGTCGCATGTAGCGCGGGGCTCAGGCACTTTGCGCTGGTGACACCCTGGTGACCAGGGTGCCAACCAACCCCAGGTCTCCCGGGAAGAGCGAGAGCAAGGACAGGACACTCCAGGCCGTGCAGAGAAGCGCGTGCCTGCCCGCCACGACAGCACTACGGTCTCCCTCCAAGCGGGGTGCCCAGGGGCCCCTCCACTCGCCAGCGCAACGGCGTCCAGCGACGGGGGGGGGGTCCCGTTCCTTCCTCGCCCTGGTCACGGCGAGGATCCAGCGCACGCGCACCACCCCTGCTAATACCCTCCCTCGAGCTCCAGGGGCAGACCAGCATCTTGCGGCCGTTGAGCGAGGCCCCGCCTGCTCCAGGCCCGCTAGGCGGCCTCCACCAATCTCCCCCTCCAAGATCTTCAAACCTACTATCCAGGACTCCTCCTCGCGTCCTCGGAGAGGGGGGGGGGGTTCAGGCGAGGGCGGCGGAGGATGCCCGCCAAATCTTCCACACTGCTGGAACCCTGCCGCCGGAGGACTGGGCCAGGGTCAACCGCCGCGGCTTCTTCTGCCCTCGCCCAGCGGGCAAGGCAGGTAGCCCTCGGGGGCCTGGGGCCGAAAGGCTGGGTGCGGTTGCCCCTCCGCTCTGGCCTGGGCCTGGGGGGGCTCCCGTTCGCCCGCAGCGCTCGGCAGGAACTGACCATTGCCCAGCCCAGTTTTTCATGACGTTCACCCCCCGAGGTCTTGACCCCCACCCCGGGGGCCGGTTTTCCATCCCGAGTCGTTTCTTGACGGTCCAGAGGCCCAGGAAGGGCCCCCCCCACGAGGCCGAACATATAGCGAACAACCTGCCGTCGTGATGCTTGTTGCGCAGCGAGAAGGGGGGGCCTGGGCAACCATGTCTCCCCCCTGGCCGAGCCCGCGGGCGTCTGCTGGCGCTTCGCCGGTGCTCTTGGCCGCGTCGCTCCCTCGTCCACGGGGTGGGCGGCTCCCTGAGCTGCAGGACCCGCAGGGGGGACACGCGCTCTGCCGCCACTGGAGCCTCCACTTAGGGGGGGGGGGGCTCCGCGCCCGCGCTCGGAGGTCGTCGACCCCTCCCGCGCGGCCGAGGGCCTCCAAAGCTCCTGCCTGGGCCTCCTTGGACGACCAGAGTCCCAGAGATCCGACGCATTGAGCAGATCAAGACGGAGGCTTTTCGCCGCGCTCGGCCTCCAGGGGCCCTCGCCGGGCCGCGGGGCCGTCCACAAACAGAACATCTCAGGATGGAAGACTGGTCCTGGGGAAGGGGCCGAGACTCCCAGGGGGGGGCCGCCTTGAAAAAACACCACGCCATCGGATCTATGGGCCTGTCCCTGGCGCTCCCCCGCCGCCTCGCAGCGCACCCGCTGCCCCAGGGGCCCCTCAAGCTCCCCTCCCCCGGGCCCCGGCGTGGGCGAGGTCGCCGGCTTCCACGTGGTACAGCTGTACCAAGCGTAAGATTAGGTCGGGCATGTCCCCCTGCAGGGGGCAGGGGTTGGGTACGTCGCCAGGGCAATTGTCCATATTTTCGGCCTCGGGGGGCCCTTCCCGGGCCTCAGCTCAGGACCGTCAAAAAACGACTCAAGATGAAACACCGGCCCTCGTCCTCGTCCTTGTCGTCGTCCTCGCGTCGCCCCTGTCGTAATCGTCAGCCTCGTCCTCCTCGATCGCCGTCGGCCTCGTCGCCATCCTCGCCGACGGCCTCGAAGGTCCCGCGGCGAGCTCCGGAGCCGGAGTCTTCCCACGGCGAAAGCCCGGCCCCCTGGCCACGAGGCGCCTCCCGGAGGCCCCTGGCGGAGGAGGGGCGCTCCATGAGCTGCTCGAGCTCGGACCTCCGACTCCGGGTCGAGCGAGCGAGCGAGCATGCGTCCAAGTGCAGGACTCCTCCTCCTCCTCCTCCTCCTCCTCCTCCTCCTCCTCCTCCTCCTCCTCCTCCTCCTCCTCCTCCTCCTCCTCCTCCTCCTAGGCGGCGTCAGGACCATGGGCCCACGACGGCGCCCGTTTACCGACGCCCCCAGCGCCCGGCAGAAGGCGCGCAGCCATGGTACGGGGGTGGTGGCCATGGCGGCCGTGGCCCTCGTCAGTTTCATGATGTCCACGTTCCTGAAGGACCGCGTCCGCTCGGTTGGGAGCCACGCGTTGCAGGACGGCCTCCGAGTGCTTGCATCGACGTTGAAGGAGCAGGCCAAGGCCAAGAGCGTGGAGGCCACCCTCCCGAGCGTCGAGGCCCGCGGCGACGAGTTCCCCGCTGGCGGCAAGCAGGCAATCCTTGAGGGGGCGCCCGAGGAGGAAGGGAAGGACAAGAAATTGGAGGAGCAGGCCAAGGCCAACGGCGTCGCGACCATCCCGCGAGGAGGCAAGGTGGGCCCCGACGGCTGGCATGGCCTGGACAATGGCCCGCAGAAGGCAGAGAAGGACAGCGTCAAGGAGAACGGCGGCCCGAAGACGAACGAGGAGTTCGCGGCTTCGGCGGCATACCACACGACGATCTCCATGAAGAGCCAGACGCTGAAGGCTGCGATGGCGGACTGCACGACGATCATCGGGGACGACCCGATAGGCGCGTGCGAGGCCCCGCAGCACAGGAACGACACGAAGGTGGAGGAGCAGGCCAAGACCAAGAGCGTCGAGTCCACCTCGCTGGGCGGCCAAGTGGAACCCGACAGCTGGCACGGCTTGTGCGTCGGCCCGAAGACGGTTGAGAAAGAGGAGATCAAGGCTGTGACGGCGGCCGGCGGCATGCCAGACGGTCTCCAGGAACGGCCCGATGGCCTACTTCGGCGAGCTTTCCCCCTCCTCCTCCTCCTCCTCCTCCTCCTCCTCCTCCTCCTCCTCCTCCTCCTCCTCCTCCTCCTCCTCCTCCTCCTCCCTCTGGTTATTATGGGCACCTCTGCGGAGGGGGACCCAATGCACTCCTAGGGCGCTGGCCGCGATTGGGCTGCTGGGCCAGGGGACTTAGTGGGAGGGGACGTGGCTTAGCCAAAATAGTGTGGTGAATAAGAGCTTATAGTTGTAGTGGACCAGGCCCTGCCGGAGTGCAGCGCCTGTGGAGGAGCCTACAGCCCCATGGCTCGACAGAACGCTCCGCCTACAGGGGTAGCGGCGGGCGCCGTACAGGTAGATTTGGCATGCCGCAGGGCGTTGCTGCTCCTATCTGCGGCCCTGCTGTCCTCTGCGCGCGAGCTGCCGCGGGGGCGGCCCGTGGCGGTACGGGGCTCCTCGGTGGCGGAAGTGGTATGCCGCGCCACCCGCGGGAGCCCCTGAGACTCGTCGTAGACGTGTTCGGAGAATCTCGGATAATCTCCTCCTCCTCCTCCTCCTCCTCCTCCTCCTCCTCCTCCTCCTCCTCCTCCTCCTCCTCCTCCTACTAGGTCGCCGCCAAAGAGGGAGGGTGGCCGCAACGGCGACCACGGGGCTCAACCACCGAGCCCAAAACAAGGGAGTATGGATGCACCGCACTGGACGCTCTTCCAGGTAGGAGCAAGGGGCAGCGGCACCACCACCACCAGGGACCACCAGTGGGAGGAGCCAGGGGGGGTCCCGCTGGTAGTGTGGCCACCCCCTCACGCCCGAAACATACCCCATGCCCAGCTCGAAGAGGTATCGTGGACCTCCCCGCTGGAGGAGGAGGAGGAGGAGGAGGGAGGAGGAGGAGGAGGAGGAGGAGAGGAGGAGGAGGAGCGCCAGAAGCCGCCCAGAGGGAGCCTCGGGAGGCAGACGGTGCACGCAGCCCAGGTGCTCTGGAAGAGGGGGGGTCCTCCTCCTCTCCTCCTCCTCCTCCTCCCTCCTCCTCCTCCTCTGATCCTCCTCTGATCCTCCTCTTCCTCCTCCTCCTCCACCTCCACCTCCTCTCCACCTCCTCCTCCTCCTCCTCCCTCCTCCTCGGTCTCCTCCTCCTCCTCCTCCTCCTCCTCCTCCTCCTCCTCCTCCTCCTCCTCCTCCTGGTGGCCCCCCTGGTGGTGGTGGTGGTGGTGGTGGTGGTGGTGGTGGTGGTGGTGGTGGTGGTGGTGGTGAAGGTGGTGGTGGTGGTGGTGGTGTCGCGTCTCCCCCCCCCCGATCCGGGGGCCCAGCGGCCGAGCCCCGCACACCATGATCCGCAGCTCGCGGAAGACGCGCATGACCCGGATGGCGCGCAGCGCCCGCACGAGGCGCAGCGTGCGCACCACGCGCACGGAGGAGATCTGCGAGAGCCTGGTCGACGAGACCGCCTGGACGACCTCCTTGGAAGAAGAAAACAAAAAACACAGGCACACAAACTCCTGGCGCTCCGCGCAGACTTCTTGGATCCGCGCCAGGGGCGGCGCCGGGGGCGCCAGGGAGGGGGGGCCGGGGCGCGGATCCAGAGGACTCCGCGCGGAGCGCCAAGAGTGTATCTTTGCGTGGCTTGGGGAAATGAAAAGGTACCGATACCGCTACTCCCCGAACCTCTCCCGGGGTGCGTCCTGACCCGGATTTCAAGGCGAATCCAGCGGCGGCGACGAGATCCTCCCAGGAGGCTCGAAAAAGGGAAAACGAGGGAAGGATAGAGGTGTGGGTACCGTTTCCTCCTCTGAAAGCGCGTGTCTCTGCGTGGTGCTTTCTCTGCCTCGGCTCCTCCGAGAGGGAGCAGAGGATGATGAAGGTGTCGAACCTCGGCGGGCCGGGGGGGGGGGCCGGGCGCGGATCCAAAGGGACCCGCGCGGAGCGCCAAGAGCGTGTCTCTGCGTGGTGCTTTCTCTGCCTCGACGCCTCCGAGAGGGAGCAGAGTATGAGTATGGGTAAAGGTATGGGCACCTTTTCCTCCTCTGAAAGGGCGTGTCTCTGCGTGGTGCTCTCTCTGCCTCGACGCCTCCGAGAGGGAGCAGAGGCGTGAGGGAGGTGTCGAGCCTCGGCGAGGCCGGGGGGGGGGGGGGGGGCACGCGGAGAACCACCTCGGCCCCAGGGGCCGTCGGAGGCCGCTACGGGATGGAAAAACGAAGGGGGGCCCAGGAACACACACACACACACACACACAAATACACACACAAATACACACACATAAATACACACATACATACACACAAATAACAGGATTCTCCATTTTTTATTTTTTTCAGCGTGCTGCCTGTGCCATGATGAGTGCTTCATATGTTTCACAGCGTGACCTGTCTCTTTAAGGCCACGGTTTGTGTCATGTGCTTGCCTGTCGCAGGTTAGCTCTTGGGGTGCGCCTGGTTTGCCTAGCGAGTCTTTTAATCGCACGGCGGCTGAGGTTGTGTAAACAATATAAGCCATGTCACTTGCGCGCCAAAACACAGGATTCCCCATATGTTCCTACATTTTCTGGGTGTTCGTCTTCCCCCCCCCCCACTTCCCATATGTTCCCATACACCCTGCGAAATGGTTAAGAAATCATGGGTTAAGAAATTCATTGTCTCAGAACTTGAATAAAAACCCAACGTTTCTATTCAAATCTTAGGATTTACGTTGAAACATTAAGAATAATCGAGACTCTGGCCGAAAACGTAAGTTTTCTTAAGCATCGCCTAAGGTGTATGTTCTGGGAGTCGACGATGAATCGTGTCTGTGTGTGTTGCTCCCTCCTGAAAAGGACCGGCCAGGGTGGATCCCAGGAGGGGCCCACGACCGATGTTGAGCGAAGCTTGACCGCCTGGACTCGCTCCACCGACGAAGGATTGCAAAAAAACCCAGGATTGCAAAAAAACAGGGTTTTTGTTGCAATCCTTCGACGAAGGGGTTTTTGTTTTGCAATCCTTTTTTTTTGCAATCCTTGGGGCCGAGCATGAGGAAGGTCGAGGCTCGGTCGATCAAGGCCTCGGGCTCCTTGTGCGCTCCTGGGTCTCGCAGGGGCCTCTCGTCGCTGCGGCTGGCTTCCCCCAGGGAGTTCTGGCCGAAACGGGCCCCAGGAGACAGCGACAGGATGGCTAGAGCAATCTCCGCCGACAGGGAGCAGAGTGCGAGAGAAATGTCGAGCTTCAGTGTCGTCGCGTCGGATGTTTTCTGACGTTCCTGGAGGTTCTTTCGCTGGCACGCCTCGACGCGGCTCGCAGGATGGAGCCTGTGAGGGGTTCTGGGACCAGTGTTCAACGGAGGTCGTTAAGGGAGATAAACGGGCTCGCTGGGACCATATCCTGCGAGAGGGAGCAGGGTATGATGACGATTGGGGACCTCGACAAAGGGATCCTGGTTTTTGCGCGTGTCTTGCGTTTGCTGTCTCCGAAGCCTGTGGGGGCCTCCAGGAACCTCCAGAGACATGATGAAAGTGGCACACCTCAACGAATCAAAAATCACAATCACTCTGCGCGCGTCTTCGCCGATCTATATGATGGACATCTCGGCAACAACGACGAACTATATCACGGACAAGATCGAGTATCATTAAGCCCTGGCGAAGACAAACCTATACGTAAAACGGGCGCTATCACTGTGGAGACAAGTCGCACGGGCTGATCAGATACTTGTGTAGGGGGCATGACCATATATCATAACAATCACCATGGAAGCAACGCTTCGATATCCCGATCGGTCGAATATTGCCCGCGATTCAAAGCACTGCCATGAACCATTCGAGGCTCTTACGCTACACATCCTACTCCTCCTCCTCCTCCTCCTCCTCCTCCTCCTCCTCCTCCTCATATAGACCTCTACTTTCCGCAAGTTGTGTTGTCATGTCATGGGGCATGCTAGGCTCTTAGGTTAGACCCTCCTCCTCTTCCTGCTCAGATCTCTGCCTTCCGAACGTGATGCGCGGCATCCGCCGCGCGGAAGCTGCGGAGTGTGGCGGTGAAGGGTCCTCCGCCGCCGCTTCCTGCCCTTTGGCCGCCTTGGGGCCCTGCTCCCTCTCCTCCTCCTCCTCCTCCTCCTCCTCCTCCTCCTCCTCCTCCTCCTCCTCCTCCTACTCATCCTCGTCCTCATCCTCTTCCTGCTTCTCCTCCTCCTCCTCCTCCTCCTCCTCCTCCTCCGTAGCCACTTTCGCACAAGCCTGCCTTGTGCGCCAGGCGGGCGGCTGCGTTGGGTCCGTGGCCTCTCTCTTCCGGGGGAAGCGCCTCCCCTCTCGCCGCGGCCATGGCCCCGAGCGCGGCTACGGTCCCGCCCCCTCGCGGGGACCTGGTGGCGGCGCTCGCCCCCGTGGCTCGGGCGGCGGCGGCGGGTGCGGCTGAGGGCGGAGGCGGATGGCAGTGCGTGGCGGCCGCCGTCGCTGCAGCTCTCCGCACTGGCGCTGCTGGGCCAGAGCGAGCGCGGCACCACGCCCCAGGAGGCGGAGAAGGCGGCGCTCCTCGACGGGGAGGGCCAGCTGGAAGCCTCGGCGCGGCTCCAGGCGATCGAGCGGGCGCTGGTGCTGCAGGTCTCTGGGCGGCCAGTGCCGGGAGCCGTGCGCCTGGACCGCAACCTCGCCGCCCGCGTCGGGCTCGGCGAGGGCGCCGGGGTGCTCGGCCTGCCGCCCAAGGAGAAGAGGCGGCGGCAACGAGGCCGCAGACGCCGGCGCGCGGACGTGGACTCCATCGAGACGGCGGACGTGTCCGAGCAAGCGGATCCCTCGGACCAGGCGGACTCGACGGGTGGCTCGCAGCGCACGGGTGGCTCGCAGCGCATGGAGGTGGACATCGAGTGCAAACAGTCCCTGTGCAAGGAATCGATGGCGGCCAGTTCCAGCTGAACGCGGCGACCATCAAGGAGACGATGCACCGGGAGTTCTCGGATCTGGAGGCGGAGTTGGCGGCCGAGACAGCAGCCAGAGCCGCGGCGGCATCCGAAATGAAGCAGCTGCAGCAACAGGTCGTGACATTGCACGCAAAGCTGGACAGCAACGTGGGGACGGCCTCCGAGTACAACGGCGTGGTCGCAGGGCTCGAAGCCGAGCTTGAGGCCGTGAGGCCGGCACTTACTTCGGCGACCATGGGCAGCGAGCACCTAGCGCGGCAGGTCGTGGAGCTGGAGTCCAAGCAATCGGAGGCGGAGCAAGAGAAGAAGAGCCTCCGAATGGCGCTCGCCGAAGCCGAGCGGAAGCTGGACGAGGTGAAGAGCGACGCCGCCGAGGCCTGCCAGCAGGCTCTCGACCTGGCGGAGAAGGTGGCGGGTGGTGGCGCCTCGTCTGGGTGGGCGCCGAGACCGACAGGGCCGAAGAGGCGCTGAGGTGAGGGCCCTCGCTCTGTCCTGCTGGGTCCGCCTCGAAATGTTGGGCAGCGCGCCTCGGCGCGGGTTTGGGGGGCCGCCGCCTGGGTCGGGCTCGCCCCGTGCGTTCCCGCCCCCCTTGGGGTGTGGTCGGCCGCTGGGGTTGCCCGCTGTTGTCCCCGTGGGGGGGGGGGTCCGTCCCCCTGGCTTGCCCGCTGGGTAGGCCAGGGTCGGACGGATGCCTGTCTGGGCAGCTTCGGGGCCCGTCCCTCGTTGCCACTGGGCGTCCGTGCGGCGCGCTCGCGGCGGCGCGGGTACCATTCGACATCTGGGGCCCTGGCGGTCGTCTGCGTGCAGACGGCAGACTTCTTTGATGATGTTCCATCCATCCATCCATCCATCCATCCGTCCATTCATCTACCCATCCATCCATCCATCCATCCATCCATCCATCCCTCCTCCTCCTCCTCCTGCTCCTCCTCCTCATCCTCCTCCTCCTCCTCCTCCTCCTCCCCCTCCTCCTCCGTGTCCTCCTCCTCCTCCTCCTTCCTCCTCCTCCCTCTCCTCCTCCTCCTCCCTCGCTCCTCCTCTCCTCCTCCTCTCCTCCTCCTCCACCTCCTCCTCCTTCTCCTCCTCCTCCTCCTCCAACTTCTCCTCCTTCTCCTCCTCCCTCCTCCTCCTCCTCCTCCTCCTCTTCCTCCTCCTCTCCGCCTCCTCCTCCTCCTCCCTCTCCTCCTCCCTCTCCTCCCTCCCTCTCCTCCTCCCCCCTCCCCTCTCCTCCTCCTCCTCCTCCTCCTCCTCCTCCTCCTCCTCCTCCTCCTCCTCCACCTCATCCTCCTCCTCCTCCTCCTCCTTCTCCTCCTCCTCCTCCAGGGGTCAGAGAAGATGGGACCGGAGGATCGCGCCTGTTTGCATATGCGTCGGCGACGTGAGGAGAAAGAGAATCCGTGTCCAGATGGCTGCGCATCGCCGATGCATCGGCGATGAAACGCGATGTCCCGCTCCATCTACTCGGACCCCATTTGGGCGGCATGTCGGCCAGTGCACTTGCTCGCGGCCAGGCCTGCCCTCGCAGGGGTCGTCTTCTGGTCCCTACGATCGTTCGTGGGGTCGTCCTGACAGTCAACCCGCTCGGTCTTTTTGAGCGCCTTTCTTTATGTTCTTATGTTCGGCGATGACGGGCGTCATGGGGGGGGGTGCGAAGGGGGGGTATGATGTAACGCCCCCCCCCGCCGTGTGGCTCCGGCACCGGAGCCGCGCCCGCGCGCGCGACGCGACGAGCGACGAGCGACGAGCGACGAGCGACGACGACGACGCGAGCAGCATGTAGGTGGCGATATGCCCCCTTGCGCCTGTGTGCACCATAACGCTCGCGTGCAGCACAACGCGCGTGTATACCACAACGCCTGCGTACACCAAAACAACCGTGTGCAACGCAGCGCTTGTGTACACCACAGTGCTTGCGTACACTACAACGCCGGTGTACATGTGTACACCGCAGCTACCATGTGAAACACAGCGCCTGTGTACACCACAATGCTTGCGTGTACCGCAGCGCTTGTGCACGCCACAGCGCGCGCCTACACCACAGCATCCGCGTGCAACGCATCGCTGGTGTAAACCACAATGCCTGCGTGCGTAGGACAGGTAGAAGGAGCATGTACGTGAGGACCTGCTGCGGACAACTAGACGCCACGTCAGGAAAGTGCTGATAATCGAATACGATGTTCTTCCTTCCTCCCTCCTCCTCCACCTCCACCACCTCCTCCTCCTCCTTACCCCCTGTCGTGCGGGTTGGCGTAACAGCGCACGTGCGCATCTCAGCGCGCACCGCAGAATGGTCTATAGAATCGGTCCACTTGGTTCTCGGACGGTCAATTTAGCTGGAGCCTCCTGGATGTTGATGGGAGGAAATAGGGTGATGCGGGCGGACTCGGGAGGACTCGTAAATTCCAGCGGCGCTCCGTTGTCCATGAGGATTATTTTTTGGTGTTCCGCTCGTCATAAGGATTCGTTAAACATTCTATATACAACAGTGGTGCTGTGTTGCACACGGCTGCTGTGCTGCACACAAGCGCAGTGGTGCACACAGGCACTGCAATACACGCAGGCATTGTGGTGAACACTGGTGCTGTGTTGCACACGGCTTATGTGGTGTACGCAAGCGCTGTGGTGTGCATAAGAGCTGTTGTGCCCGCAGGCACGGTGGCACAAACTGACGCTGTGTTGCACGCGGCTGCTGTGGTGTACATAGGTGCTGTGGTGTACACAGGCGCTGTGGTGCACGCAGGCACAGTGGTGTACACAAGCGTTGTGGTCAAATCGCCACCTACATGCTGGCGCTACCCGTCCCCCGTCATTCCTAGGCATTCCCAGACGCCGCCGGCGCGAAACGCGACGACATTGACCCCCTCCACCCCCCCCAAATGATTGCCGTCATCAGCCTGGAATAGAAAACAGGCTTCAGCCGCGTCCGCGCGCACGACGACTATGAGCGACGAGCGACAAGCCACGAGCGACGACGACGACGACGACAACTACGGACCAGACTCCTATCCGGATTCCTACGCGGATCCCGGATCCCAAAACGCACGGTGGCAGTGCCTGGAGCGCACTGGGGGGGGGAGCGTTACGTCATAGGGGGGGGGAGCGGGGGCCATGACGCCCGTCATGCCCCAAGCAATAAAGAAACGGGCTCTTTCGTGCTCGACCCCGTTTGCCCTCTCGGGCCTTCTCGTAGTCTCGGCATCGTCGTTCGCTGAATCCCGTGCGGAGTGCGCGACCAAACCGATCCCCCTCTCCCTCCTCCCCACAGCTCCGACGTTCTTGAAGACGGAGGTGCTTCTGAATGCTCGGCGTCGGACGGCCGTTGTCAGGCTCGTGGGCCGACAGAGAACTGCACGGCATGAAACAACGGTCCCCGGGTCGGGACGTCCGAGGACCTGGTGTTCAATGAAGGAGCCCTGGGACACATAAATAAGTAGACACACATCTCAGGATTCCCTATATGTTCCCATAGGTTCTGGGTTCTCGTCTTCCCCCCAACCCCACGTCCCATATTTTCCGATATCTTCCTGGGGATCGACGCTGAATTGTGTCTGTGTTGTTTCCCCTCCTGATTCAAGTCAGCCTAGCAAAAGGCCCAACCCTACACTCAGCCCCGTCTATCGCAAGACGTGGCCCTCTCCTCATACACTTCGCGTTGCGGGGCAGTGCTGATAGGGGGCTGCGGAACAAGCGCGTAGAGGCGCGCTAGATTCCCTGCGAGGCACCATCCGAACGAATGTGCCGCTATGGGCTGGGGGACGCCGTGCGATCGCGCGTGCTGAAGCCGTAGGTGGGGCTCCCTGAGGGGCACGAACCTCCTCCTCCTCCTCCTCCTCTTCCTCCTCCCCCTCCTCCTCCTCCTCCTCCTCCTCCCCCTCCTCCTCCTCCTCCTCCTTCATGCGGGGGGGGGTCGTGGCGCCTACGACCGCGCCCACGGAGGCCGTCGGTGGAGCTCCCCGAGAGGCAGAGGCACGACGCGTGCGAGGGGTGTGCCGACAGGGGGGGTGGCAGCGCACGGGGCCTGCGCCCGTGGAGGCCGCGGGCAGAGCTCCCTGGGCGGGGGCACGACTCGCGTGATGGGTGCGCCGAAATCGCGGAAGAGAGGATGAAAGGAAGGAGGAGGAGAGGAGGAGGAGGAGGAGGGGGAGGAGGAGGAGGAGGAGGAGGAGGAGGAGGAGGAAGAGGAGGAGGAGGAGGAGAAGGAGGAGGAGGATGAGGATAAAGGACAAGGAGGAGGAGGAGGACAAGGAGGAGGAGGAGGAGGAGGAGGAGGAGCGGGAGAGAAGACGCACGGCGCAGCGAGCTCAACACGGGGGCCCCACTTCACGGCAGGGCCGAAGCCACGGCACGACGCCGCAGGCCTGGAGCCTCGGCCCTCCGGGATCGGCCCTCGAAGATCGACGACCGGTCGTTCTGGGCCTCGGGACGCCTCTGGAGGGGCCTCTGGCAGCCCTTGGGAACCTCCAGGAAGCTCTGGAGACCTGCGCGGGACCTCTGGGGACTGCCTGTGTGGTGGGCTTGTCTTCCACTGCCACCACCATAAGTAGAAGGGGAAGGGGGTCCTCCTCCTCTGCCTCCTCATCCTCCACCTCCTTCCCCCCTCCAACTTTCCAACTTCTGGTGGTGGTGGTGGAAGACCGCCCCATCACCTGTATGTGAGCGCGCCAGCTACCCTGTCCCGCCGATCCTTGCCGGCCCGATCCTGCACGATGGGCAGGACGTGTGTCAGCTGGCCACGCCAGCTTCACGAACTGCTTGAAGTGTCCCCTCCCTCGCTGCCTCGCATGCCTTTCCTCCTCTCCATCCTTCTCCTCGTCCTAATAATCATTGCTCTCGCCCTCCTCCTCCTCCTCCTCATCATCATCAGCAGCAGCAGCATCCTCGTGTGTGTTCTCCTTCTCCTCCTGTTCCTCTTCCTTCTCCTGTTGCTGCTCCTGCTCCTCCTCCACCTTCTGTTTCTGTCCGTTCCTGCACCTCCGCGTCCTCTTACTCCTCCTCCACCTCCTCCTCCTCTTTCCCCCCGCCCTCCTCGTCCTTCCCCTCCTCCTTCTCCGCGTCTTCGGCCTTCTCTTTCTCCTCCACCTTCCCCTACCCATGGTCCTGGCCCCTTTATCCCCCCCCGCATCGAAACTCTCAGTCCAAAATGCGCTAGACTGCCCTGTCAGCCCGGGATGGCAGGTCTCATCGGAGCACCCGTCTTCACGCCACTCCAGTCCTCGCGCTACCACCACAAGGAAGGATGAACAAGGAACGAACGGGCGTCTGGGCTACGACGAACCTCGGGCACGAATAGGTTCCCCAGCCGGAATCTGAGTAACGGCATGCAAACCAGGGCCCCTCATGAACCCGAGGTGGTCCTTATATCAGCGTCGTGGTTCGCAGGCTGATCGGTCAGTCCTGGACCGGCCTGCTGAAAGACTGAGGGACGAACACGTTCCAGCCGAGCCTCTCGGCCGGCGGGTGGGAAGAGGAGGGGCAGGAGGAAGGGGGCCGGTCGTCCCGGATCAGTCTGCTCAAGGGCTGAGGGCCGAACGCGTTCCAGCCGAACCCCTTGGCCGAGGGGTAGAAGAACTCTACGCCGTCGGCTGCGATACGAAGCACGAGCTCCAGCAAGAACCTGGCCGTCGACTTGTTGCCAAGGAATCAGTTCCCCGTTGGGTCAGTGTTGGTGCCACAGTGAGCAGGCAGCTTGCCCGCACCGGCGCAGCTTCTGATAACTGCAGCACAGGCACATATCTCAGGCAAAACCGATGACTTGGCATGGGTCATTCTCCTCCTGCTCCTCCTCCGCATCCTCCGCGTCCTCCTCCGCCTCCCTCTCCTCCTTATCTTTATTACCAGCATCGCCCATTATCCTCATCAATCATCCGTGGCCGTCTACCCTCCCCTCTAGCTCCTCATCATCTTCATCCTCCTCCTCCTCCTCCTCCTCCTCCTCCTCCTCCTCACCAACATCATCAGCACCAATATCATCATCATCATCATCATCATCATCATCATCATCATCATCATCATCATCATCATCATCATCATCATCATCATCATCATCATCATCATCGTCGTCGTCATCATCATCATCATCAACAATATCATCAGCATCATCTGAATCATCATCACCATCATAGTAATAGTAATACCATTAATACGAATGCGAATGCGAATAATAATCATAAGCATAAGAAGAATATTAATCATCATCGACAACATCATCATCATCATCATCATCACCACCATCATCATCAGCATCATCGTCGTCATCATCCGCATCATCATCATCAGCAGCAGCATAAGCATCAACATTATTATCATCATCAGCAGCATCGTCATTATCATGATCACCAGCATCAGCAGCAGTATCACGATCACCATCAACAACATCATCATCATAATCATCATCAGCATCGTCATCATCATCCTCATCCTCATCAGCATCATCATCACCATCGACATCACCATCACCATCCCCATCACCATCATCACAGTCATCATCAGCATCAATTTCAGCATCATGAGCAGCATCATCATAACCATCATCATCACTACCCTGGATAATCATCGCATGATCTCGGGGAACACAAGTGTGAACGCCCTGTTCGTCCACAGGAAGAGTGTCTGTTGATCGCCCTCGGAGTTGTCGCCAAGGTGACGCATATCCCAGTCTGCTTGATACCCTGCGCAGCAGGAGGAGGAAAGGGAATGGAAGGGGAGGAGGAGGAGGAGGAGGAGGAGGAGGAGGAGGAGGAGAAACAGGAGGAGGAGGAGGACAGGAGTGAGAGAAGGAGGAGGAAGAGGAGAAGAATCGGGAAGAAATGAGAAGGGGGAGGGGGAGGAGGAGGCCTATGAGAATCGCGTTGGCAATGATCGCGATCGGGACCACAATCTCGAAGCCGATGCTGTGCGTGCAATCGTATGCAATCTTCCCGAAGCTGCCACGCACAATGCCGTGCCTGCGGTCATCAGAGTTGGTGAGGCCCCAGATGAAGAAATTCTTTCCAGAGTCCTTCCTTAGCGTGTCGCTGAGTGAGGACCCAGAGATCTGGCCGCACCAAGTTCCGAGGCCCGGCGAGGGCCCCCGGATGACGAAAACGGCCCAAATCCCGCCGCTCCACTTTTTTTGTTGGAGCCTCGGATCTCTGGGGAGCCAATGCGCGCTTCAACCCTGCACCGAAAGAATTCCTCTTCCGCCTCCAGAGCCAGCCCGCCACTCCGCTGACAGAGCCAACCGCCGTGAGTCCCGGAGTCCCGGCTTCGCGAAGTCAGGAAAAAAAAATGCCAGAGGCGCGGACACGGACCATGCGCGGAAGGAATTGCAACCGACCGAGGCAGCGCAACCGTCCTCATCCTCCTCGCCTGCCTCGCCCTGCCGCAGAGCTGGGCAGGGCCACTCCGCGCGCTGAACAGCAGCAGGCTTTCGACGATGCTCAAATAAACGCGCAAAGCGCAGTATATATATATATGTTATATATATAAATATGTATTTATGAATGTCTCATGGTTCTGGTATCACAGTGATGCGCTATGCTGCCCTCCCACCACCCTGCACACCTCATAGAACAACGTATGTGACTACGGTCCATGTACTTCTGTACATGGTTGGGAGTGCACTGCCAATTCCTAATGTCGTAATCGCACGCCCGCATGTCCATGAGAACGCACCAAAGAGTTGCCTAAATCAAATGTTTGCATTGACTGCGTTATCACCAATCCTTGTGTGTACTGTTCCTCCTATCGTGTGCTCTTCGCTTTTCGAATCGCATACTTCTCTTGTCGCGCGTCTTGCCATTGCTGCCCTGCATCCTGCGATCATGTCTGCCCGAGCTTGGAACAGCTAGACCGTACGGAGCTCTGATTGTCTTTGATTGTGACGGTTGGCTCTGCCAACGAGTGGGGAGGAGGGAGAGGGAGAGAGGAAGAATCGCGGCCAAAGTTCTTCGTGCCCTCCACTGGGCGAACCTAGGCAACGTCTGCCCCCAAACCGAAAAAAAAGGTTTTGCCCCCCTTCCATCACGCCCCATCCGTCACCGTCAAAGACTTAGAGACTCGTGGTGTCGCTAGAGCGTCCAAGATTTGTTCCAGACTTTCCTGGGTAACTATGGATTGCCTCGATGCAGCTGGACTCGATGTCTTTGAAATTACCTCGTCTCATCTAGCGCACAGTGTATGTGGCATATTGCCGTCCGAGAAATCCCAACTGCCCGTTCCAGCTCCCGCCTCTGCCACGTTTCCTGCTCATCCTTCACCTCCTCCCTGACACCTCCTTCGTCCTCCATCCTCACTGTTCCTCCTTGATCCATCTCTCTCCCATCGTCAAGGTTCCCTTCTACTCTTCCTTCCTCATCGCTCATTGGCCCTCCCTCCTCATGGTCCCACCGAGTGCCGTGCCTCCCTGCCTCCTTCCCGTACCATAGCCATTACTTTCATATCATGCCACCACCAGCACTTGACGGGATACGTTCTCCGTCGTTAAAACCATCAAGCTACCATACTCCTCATCATGGTCACCACAAGTGCGCCCACCCCGTATCAGCATGCTCATCATTCGGATGACATTTGTCTTCTGCGTGCCATTCATCGACATGGGCTGCTCATCACCACTATCGTCATCATCAGCAGCATCATCATCAGCATCAGCATCGCCAGCATCATCATACACGTCGCCATCAGAATCCGTAGCATGATCATTGCTATCATCATCAGCAGCAACAGCATCATCATCGTCAGCCTCAGCATCATTAGCACCGTCGTCAGCCTCAACATAATAATCATCACCATCAGCAGCAGCATCATCAGCGTCATCATCAGCATCGCCATCGTTATGGCCATCATCACGAAGCAGGAAGTAACCATCACTATAACTGGTGACATCGGCAACATCATCCGCATACTCATACCCATTACCACGCTCACCCTCGCCATCATCGGCATGGCCATCGTGGTCGCCGTCACCATCATCATCAGCATCGTCATCATCATCATCAGCAGCAGCATCAGCATCCTCGTCATCAGCATCATCGTCAGCATAATCAACATCAGCATCACCGTCGTCATCACCACCATCACCATCATCATCAACATAATCAGCATCATCATCACCGTCAGCAGAATCAGCATCAAAAACAACAGCAACGACAACATCGCCAGCATCATCATCACCTTCTGGCATCGCCATAGCTGACATCACCATCACCCCGTAGCATCATCGGAACTATCATCACCACCATCATCATACGTATCATCAACATCACCATCATCAGCATCACCATCACCATCACCATCAGCAACAGCAGCATCGTCATCATCAGCATCATCACCATCAGAACTAGCATCAGCATCAGCATCAGCATCATAAAAATAATCATCATCAGCATCAGCATCATCTACATATCCGACTCCTCCCAACTTGCACATCATCCCGCGTCGTGGTTACCCTTTCCTCCCTTTCCCTCTCGCCTACTCTCCCCTCCTCCCTCCTCCCTCCTTTTCCCACTCACCTATCCCTCTCTCCCTCCTCCCTCCTCTCTTTCCCCTCCTCCTCCTCCTCCTCCTTCTCCCTCTCCATCCCCACTCCTCAAACCCCCTCCTCATCATCACTCCTCCTCCTCATCATTATCATGATCATTACTGCTCCTCCTCCTCCTGCTCCTCCTCCTCCTCCTCCTCCTCCTCCTCCCTCTCCTCCTCCTCCTCCTCCTCCTCCTCCTCCTCCTCCTCCTCCTCCTCCTCCTCCTCCTCCTCCTCCAACTTCCCCTCCTCCTCCTCCTCCTCCGCCTCCTCCTCCTCCTCCTCCTCCTCCTCCTCCTCCTTCCCTGCATCATCACCCTCCGCTTCGTCCCCTGTCTCCTCTGCCTCCTCATCTGCCTCCTCTGCCTCGTCCACCTCCGCCCCCGGATCACCCCTCTGGCTGCACCCCCGGCCGAAGGCGGACGGCGCCGCGCACAGGCCCCCCCCCAGGCTTTTCCCATAGGGCCCCGGCAGGCGGGACAGGGTGTGTTCCAGATTCTCGAGCTCCTGTGTGCGGGATCCCCCCCATCGAGGGGGAGGAGGAGGAGGAGGAATGAGGACCGAGGACTGAGGATCAAGGATTGACAGCTAAAGATCAAGGATTTGAGGAGGATCAAAGTTGAGGAGGTTGCGTGCTCCACCTCCTACCGAGAAGAAGGAGGAGGGGAAACGTCGAGGATTGATGATCGCAGCTTCTGGGCGTTCTTGGAATGGATTAGCCCGAGGAGACCTGCGGAGGCCTCCAGGGACCTCCGGAGGCATCTGGAACCTCTGGAGATCTCTCCCCATTCCCCATCCATCCCACAAACACACACTTGCTCCTCCGACGCGCCAAAGAACCCCCATCGGCAGGCAACGCCACGGGACACGTTTGCAAAGAATTACCCTACCTGTTAAGTAGCGTAATCCTGCGATGCTCCCAGATGCGCATAGTGGTGACCTGGGGGTCAAAAAACTAGCGGCGCAGGGCAGAATGAAAACGTGAAAGTGGACAGCGAGCCAAGTGGCTGCCAGTCGGCAGCGAGCGAGGGGAGGAAGTGAGAAGGAGGAGACCTTCTCAGAAGGCGGCCGGGGGCTTCTCAGAAGCCCTCCGTCCTCCTGAGACAGCTGCTGCGTCTTCGGGGAAGGCTCAGACATTAGCCTGGCGAAAGACCCAACCATATGCAGCTGTGAGCACCGCACTCATGAGTATCATCTTTGGTGGAGCTCCCTATGGGGCCACGAAACACTTGAAGGGTGTGCCAACATAAGTGGCGGACGCATGTGGACGGTGCCACTGGGGCCTTCGGTGGAGTTCCCCACGAAACGTGTGAGGGGTGTGCCGACATGGGTGTGGCGGACGCATGTGGACGGTGCCACCAGGGCCTTCGGTGGAGCTCCGTATGGGGCCACGAAACGTGTGAGAGGTGTGCCGGCATGGGCGTGGCGGACGCATGTGGACGGTGCCATTGAGGGCCTTTGGGTTGAGCTCCCTATGGGGCCACGGAACGTGTGAGAGGGGTGTGCCGACATGGGTGTGGCGGACGCATGTGGTCGGTCGATGCCACTGGGGCCTTGGGTGGAGCTCCCTATGGGGCCACGCAACGCGTGAAGGGTGTGCCGAAAACGGTGTCGCGGACGCATGTGGACGCTGCCACTAGGGCCTTCGGTGGAGCTCCCCATGGGGCCCACGAAACGTGTGAGGGGTGTACCGAACGCATGTGGGCGGTGTCAAGGGGGCCTTGGGTGGAGCTACCTATGGGGCCACGGAACGTGTGACGGGTGTGCCGAAATGGGTGTGGCGGGTGCCACTGGGGCCTCGGGTGGAGCCCCCCTTATGAGGCCACGAAACGTGTGAGAGGTGTGCCGAAAACGGTGTGGCGGACGTATGTGGACGGTGTGACTGGAGCCGTGGGTGGAGCTCCCTATGGGGCCACGGAACGTGTGAGAGGGGTGTACCGGCATGGGTGTGGCGGACGCATGTGGACGGTGCCACTGGGGCCTTGGGGGGAGCTACCCATGGTGCCAACGAAACGTGTGACGGGTGTGCCGACATGGGTGTGGCGGACGCATGTGATCGGTGCCACTGGGGCCTTGGGTGGAGCTAACTATGGGGTCACAAAACGTGTGAGAGGTGTGCCGACATGGGTGTGGCGGACGCATGTGGACGGTGCCACTGGGGCCTTGGGTGGAGCTCCCTATGGGGCCACACAACGTGTGAGGGGTGTGCCGGCATGGGTGTGGCGGACGCATGTGGACGGTGCCACCAGGGCCCTCGGTGGAGCTCCGTATGGGGCCACGGAACGTGTGAGGAGGAGGAGGAGCAAAAAGAGGAGGAGGAGGCGAGGATGAGGAGGATGGCCGCGAGTCGGAGGGGGCGCGTCGTGCCGCGCAGCAGAGGAGAGGAGAGGAGGATCGCGGGGACCGTCTCTTCAAAACGAGGACCCAACTTCACAGCATGGTTGGGAAACATCTCAGACCGCGGGATGACCTCCGAGCCTACTGAGAATGCCCGTCGCCTCTCACTTCCCCCCTGTGCTCGCCGCCGAGCCAAGATCGATAGGGAACAGAGCCCCGATGTTGGGCAAGACGCCCTCTGGCAAGAACGACCTGGGACCAGACCTCCGCGGGCGCAGTGCGACCCTCACGGCCAGGGGCAGTGCGCTAAGCGACTGGGCAGGGGGGGGGGGCGGGGGCAGCGCGACGGAGGGAGGGGGGCAGAAAGGGTGAGGGGCAGGAAGGGTGCCAGATGTGGGGGGGAAGGGGAAAGCGCAGGGAGGGGAGGAGCAGGGAGGGTGAGGAGCAGGAAGGGAAGGGCATGAGCAGGATGGGGGGGAGCAGGAACGGGGGGGGATTGGGCGCCTTCTGCCAGCCTCCGACAAGAGACAGCGCGGGCGCGGCAGAGGGAGGGGGCCAGCAAGGGGGAGCGGCAGGAAGGGGAGGCAGGGACAGTGCCCCATCCCACACGCGCGCGAGCGCCTCCCCTCTCCACACCCGCCCCTGCACCTCACGCTCCTCCTCCACCATCGCATCCTCTTCATCCACGCTGTCCTCGCCCTCGGCATCGTCCTCCGCCCTCCCCCTCGCCCCCTCCTCCCCCTCCTCCCCCTCCTCCCCCTCCTCCCCTCCTCCGCCCTCCTCCCCCTCCTCCCCCTCCTCCCCCTCCTCCCCCTCCTCCCCCTCCTCCCCCTCCTCCCCCTCCTCCCTCCCCCTCCTCCCCTCCTCCCCTCCTCCTCCTCCTCCTCCTCCTCCTCCTCCTCCTCCTCCTCCTCCTCCTCCTCCTCCTCCTCCTCTCTCTTCCTCCTCCTCCTCTTCCTCCTCCTCCTCTCCTGCTCCTCCTCCCTCCTCCTCCTCCTCCTCCTCCTCTTGTTCCTCCTCCTCTTGTTCCTCCTCCTCTTGTTCCCTCCTCTTGTTCCTCCTCCTCCTCCTCCTCCTCCTCCTCCTCCTCCTCCCCTTGCAGCCGCGGTCCTCCGGCGGCGTGAGCCTGCCCCCGCGGGCGGCGCCGAGAGACTCCTCGGAGCTCATGGAGCAGGTGCTCGCCTCGCGGACGCTGGAGCTGTTCTCCTCGGCGGGCCCCCCGCCCCTCCTCGGCGCAGCTCTGCGGGAAGGTCAGCTGCCGACCGCTTGAGAGAAGGGCCGTCTTGAGGCCCTCTTGGGCCGTTTCGGTCCCTTCGTGGAGGCCTCTTGGGCCGTCTTGGGGCGATCTCGGAAGCCCTCCTGGGCTGTCCTGAAGTTCTGAAAACTCGAAACGATGCGAGCGCCAAAATCCTTGAAAGACCCATCAGGAAATCGTTGATTTGAGCTTCCTGGGGCCTCACGCGATCGGAGACCTTTGACTCGCCCATGCGGGAACCTGGTCAATACAGAGGCTGTCCTCCTGCCTGGGAGCATGTCTGCGGGCAGGTCAGCTCCCGCCCACCTGGGCACAGGGCCTCACGCGACCGGAGCCCCATTGTTTCGCCCACGCGAAAGCCTGGCCAATACAAAGGCCTCCCTCCTGGAACCAGTGCTAGTACAAGCCTGGGGCAAGTGTGGCCAACCCGCGCCGGACACGTTCTACTTAGAACCTGACTAATCATCCATCCTCCTCCTCCTCCTCCTCCTCCTCCTCCTCCTCCTCCTCCTCCTCCTCCTCCGCCTCCCGAGTCTCCTCCTGCCCCGCTGGCTGTCCCTCGTCCTCCCCCCCTCTTGTCCTCGTCCTCCCCGTCGTGGACCTGCCGACACCCTAAAATCTCGACCTCCGATCCTCCCCCCCTCGACTACGACGGGGGCGGGATGCTGACAGATTCGGGCGAGGATGGGTTGGGAATCTCTGACAGCCGCCGGATCTGGAGGACGTGTCGGACGGAGCGGCCAGCCCAGAGCGCTCCGCGAGCGCTCCGCGAGCGTTCCCGGACGTCCTGGGGCGAGTTGCCCTCGTCCTGTGGGCCTGCCTGGCCAGGTGGACAGACGGAGGAGGGGCAGAAGCAGCAGCAGCAGCAGCAGCAGCAGCAGCAGCAGCAGCATGGTCAACACCAGAAGCAGGAGCAGGAGGATGTGGAATGGCAGCAGCAGCCGTCGGACGGGGAGGAGCACGGGGAGGAGGACCACGAGGAGAGGAGGCGTGGCAGGAGGCTGGAGGAGGCCAGAGGACAGGGAGAAGGGAGAAGGAGGAGGACAAGAGGGGAGGCGGACGACGCCGACAAGCAGGGGGAGTACGAGAGGAAGGAGGGGGGCCGACAGCCGAGGCCCCCGCGGGAATGTAGGTCGCCTCGCTCGGGAACATGGGCCTGAGGGGCCCAACCGGAAGCCCGAGGGCGCCGCGGCTGGGTGCCAAGTCTTCTCGACTACTCCACCCGTCGCAATCTCCGTCATCACCATGATCATCACCATCAGCAGCATCTTTGCATCAGCATTAGCATCCTCATCAACATCCGCATCATCAGCATCAACATCCTCGTCCTCTTCATCATCACAATCGTATTCGCCGTCGGCGGCGACGTCACCATCATCAGCATCATCAGCCACGCCATCATCATCATCATCATCATCATCATCATCATCATCATCATCATCATCATCATCATCATCATCATCATCATCGTCATCGTCATCGTCATCGTCATCAGCATCATCATCATCATCATCATCATCATCATCATCATCATCATCATCATCATCATCGTCTTCATCAGCATAATCATCATCAGCATCAGCATCAGCATCACCATCAGCATCATCAGCATCACCACCATCATCATAATCACCTTCATCATCATCAGCATCAGCATCATCATCAGCATCATCCTCATCATCATCGTCAGCGCGAGCGTCATCGACATCTACATCAGCGTCATCATCAGCACCATCATCATGATACTTATAATGAACAGAATAAGGATCCTCAGCATCATCATTCACCATCAGTAGCATCATCATCAGCAGCATCAGCATCATCATCATCATCATCATCACCATCGCCGTCATCATCATCACCATCGTCAGAATCATCGTCATCATCAGAATCAGCATCCTGATCATCATCAACATCATCATCAACATCATCGTGACATGATTCATCGTCATCATCAACGTCATTAGCAGCAGCAGAACCACCAGCGCCATCGCAATCAACAGCAGCACCATCAGCACCACCAACATCATCAGCAGCATCATCATCAGCCTCATCATCATCATCAGCATCATCATCATCATCAGCATCAGCATCATCATCATCACCATCATCAACATCCGCATCAGCATCATCACCTCATCATCATCCCATCCCCTCCTCATTAGCAGCATCCTCGACAACACCCCCATCACCAGCAAGCTTCATCATCCTGATCGTTACTGGCATCATCAGCAGCGTCATATTTATCGTCGTCATCATCATCATCAGCAGCATCATCATCATCATCATCATCATCACCATCATCATCATCATCATCATCATCATCATCATCATCATCATCATCATCATCATCATCATCATCATCATCTACAGCAACTTCTTCATCAGCATGAGCGTCATCATTATCATCATCATCGCCATCGTTATCATCAGCAGTATACTCATCCCGTCTCCTCCTCATCAGCAGCATCAACAACACCACAATCACCATGAACATCAACAGCATCATCAATATTACCAGCATCGGTTGCATAAACATCATCAACTTCACGACCTCCTTCCTCCCCCAACTGTCCTTCTCCCTCCTCCTCTTCCTCCTACTGATGGTCATCTCGCCGTCCTCCTCCTCCCTCCTCCTCCTCCTCCCCCTCCTCCTCCCCCTCCTCCTCCGCCTCCTCCTCCTCCTCCTTGCCTCTCCTCCTCCTCCTCCTCCTCCTCCTCGTCCTCCTCCTTCTCCACGTCGGCCTGGGAGCCGAGTCGCGCCTCTCCACCCTGGAACGCACCGACTCGCTGGACAGCAGCTCGGTGGTGACGGGCTCCGTCTGCCCGCGCCCACCTGGAGGATCGAGCCCCGAGATCCATCTCGCAAAATTTCGACCAAAGCCCTGGACCCTATCTTTCTGCGTCCACAAGAGACCTTCCACAAGAAACCCAACCCTGAGACCCCAGGACGTCCATTGATGTTTGGCGTGGGAGCGTCACTCTTTCCATTGCAAAGCCATCGGAATCCAAGCAACCCAGGGCACCCTGGAGGCAAGCAGGGTGTTTCTAGGAATAGGCCCCCACTGTAGCTGCATCGAGCGAGAGGATCCCGGGCCCGGAACGAGGCAACAGCTAGAGGCCTCCCAAATGGGGTCCGAGCCGATGGGGTAGGAGAGTCGCGCCGCATTGCCAATGCATCGCCGATGCACCGCCGATACATCGGCGACCTCGTCGATACATCGGCGCCGTTGGCGTGGATCAAATCGGGCTCCACATAGAGCCGCATCGCCGATGCATCGGCGATGCGGCACGATCCTCCGACCCAATCCACTCTGATCACGTCTGGAAGGTCTAGGAAAGCGCCCATAGCAGAACAAAACTAGACGCCAGGATCTCAGGGATGGGTCGAGGCTTCTTCACGTCTCTGGGCCCTCCCGGACGCTTATCGGCCCTGCTGGGCCTCCGAGGGCCTCGGGGGACCTTCGGAGGCCTCTGGGTACCTCCTCGGAGACCTCGGGAGACCCTTTCCGGGGAGCTCAAGAAACCTCTGGAGGCCGTCGGCTTCCATCGTCCCGTAAAAACGCTACGGCTAATGTTTCGGTATGGCTTCCAGGAGCTAGCTGTTTGGTGGACCCAGGGACGTCCAATCACGATCCACAATAAAAATTCTGGCCCCAAAGATGGTGTCGAGAGGTCCGGGTGGACACGGTAGAAACAACATGACGACGTCGGAGGTATGATGGGTGGGTCGGAAAGTCATTCGTCGTCCTCCTCCTCCTCCTTCTTCTCCTCCCCCGCCTCCTCCCTCCTCCCTCCTACTCCCCGTGCCCATGCCCATCCCCATCATCATCTTCATCATCAGCAGCATCATGATAGTATGGTCGATATCATCATCAGCAGCAGCATCATCATTATCATCATCACCACCGCAACCACCACAAACACCATCATCAACATCAGCACCATCATCAGCACCTCTATTACCATCATCATCATGCTCATGACCATCCTACCATGATCACCATCATCATTATGAACATCACCAGCATCATCATCAGTTCATCATCCTCGTCATTGTCATCGTCATCAGCACAATCAGCCGCCCTGGCGCCTCTCTGCCTGCACTTCCCCCGATCCCCGCCCCCGCTGCTCCCGCCGCTCCCGGTGCCCCCCCCTCCCTTCTCGATGCCCCTCTCCCTGTTGATCCACTTGAACCACCCCCCTCCTCCCCCAGATCCCGCATCCCACCCCTTCTCGTTCTCTCTGATGTCCGTCCCCTCCCCGCGCGTCTCCGTCCCCTATGCTCATGGTCTTCTCGCACATTCTCATCCCCCCGATCTCCTGCATCTGATCCCCAGCTCCTCCACTCCTCCCTGTTCTCAGTCTCCTCCTCCTCCTCCTCCTCCACCTACACCCTATATCGACGCCTTTTCTTACCTCACCTCACCTCCTCTCACACTTCTTGGTTTCCTTCCCGCCATCCCCCCTCGACACTTACGCACAGACACAGACACACGCACACACGCACACACGCACACACACACACGCGCACTCACGCACGCACGCACGCACGCACGCACGCACGCACGCACGCACGCACACACACACACACACACACACACACACACACACACACACACACACACACACACGCGCACACACACACGCGCACTACATCTCTGTCTGTCTCTCTCTCTCTCTCTCTATCGCTCCCTTCCTCCCGAAGATGGGCCGAGAATGGCACGTCCCCCTCTGCGCATTGCCTCTTACGCACAGGATGGGTCTGCGTTGTTGCTCTCTCACGTGCTGCTCCCTTCCAGAATATCGAGCGCACTCGAGAGCGCTGGCCTCCTTTTTGGAGGTCGGCGCTCTGCTCCCGCCGTTCCGAATGATGACGCTTCTCGCACCCGCGAAGGGGCCCCACTGCTGGATCACCAGTGCTTCCTCGTCGCTCCCCCGCCTTCCCCTGGTCTCTTCCAGCTCCTCCCGCTCTGGCTGCTGCCGCTCCTCCTCGTCGTCCTCATTGCTCATCTCGGGCTGGGCGAAAGGGGGGGATAGCAAAGGGGGGGGTTGAGAATCAGCTCACGTAGCTGATTTTCCCGGCGCCTCCCGGCGCCGTAGGCGGC